ACCCCAGCCTCTCCCTAAAGCTCCAGACCAATTATGTAGCTGGGGCTGAACATCTCCCCTTGAAGGCCCCGCAGGAAACTTGGGCCCGGGTTGCTGGCTGAAATGGCGACTTCTCTCTCACTGGCATTGCCCACTGTGGTTGAAGGCACCAGCATCCACCCAGCCCCAAGGCTGGCTCCACACTCCACATCCAGTTATAAAATTCTATCAGTTCTTCCTAAAATCTTTGCAGGCACACCTTGTTTTATTGTGCTTTGCTTATTGTACTTCACAGACATTGCATTCTTTACATATGCAATGAAATGCAAATGAAAGCAAGACCCTCTACCAGCAAAAAGATGATGACTCACTTTATTGCAATATTCACTGTATTGGGTGGTCTGGAACCGAACCTGGAATATCTCCGAGGTATGCCCGTTATGAATTTCTTCTACCCGTTGCTGAGTACGGTTTTTCACCCAGACGAATGAAGTTGGATTCATCTGGCGGCCTTGCCCCCCCCACCTCCCCAGCTGCCAGCCTAATTTAAAATGCAAACATAGCCATGCACTCTCCTGATTAGTTTTTCAATGGCTCCCCCGATACTTCTAGAGGATCAAGTCCAAACTCTTAGACTTGACCTTGACAACCTGGTCCTACGAAAATCTCCCACCACCTCACCCTCCAGACACATAATCACTATTTCTCTGAATGTGTCCTACCATCATTTCCCTCTTCAACTTCGCCAATGCTATGTACTTTGCATAGAACCTTGCCCCATCCCTACCAGTAAATGCCCATTCTTTTAAACATTTTAAAATCTAGGTTTGCATCTCCTATGTGAGACTTTTCTTGATGCCTTAGGTAGGGTTCACCGCTCCCTTCTCTATGCTATGGCAGTGAACATCTACAATTTCACTTATTATATGTAATAAAACGATTTATTTACAGGCCTCCCTCTCCAGTAAGATCATAAATTTCTTAAGGGCAGGGCCCAGTTCTTACTCATATGCCTTATTTAAGAAATACTGAATGCCTAAGATATTCATTTCCTGTGGCTGTGTAGTGATTTAGAGCATTTATAGACTTCAGAATCAGATCCAGTTTCAAATCGTGAGAAAATTATTTAATTTCTTTAAATCTCAATTTTGTCATCTAAAAGAATGGGAACAATAATGGCAGAAACTCCACTGACTGACAAAATTAAGAGCTGTTAGTTGATCCATGAACAGAAAATGTCAGGTAAGTTGGGAATTATAAAAACACTCCTATATATGTTAACATTTTTATCTGCACATCAACCATATACACACAAACTCATTCACCACAAGCCCAGATTTTCCTTTGAGTGCAGGTCTGTTGCCTGGAGTTTCCTACCATGTTTTTGCCTAAATCAAACCTATAATGTCTTCCTACAATTTTCAGGCTTGATTTCTTTAAAATGAAGAATTTAAAAAAATATTTATGAAGCCAATGGAGTACAGAATCCTTTCATGTTTTTGTAATGTGCGCCCCCTTGACCTTTTATAGTTCCTTTGCCTGGACCTAAATCGACAGCGTTTTTAAAAAAGCAATTTGCCCTTATTGAGTCTTTCCAGAGAATTCATCATACTTTTATCAATACCTCTTTCTTTGGCACTCATATTTCAGTGGTGTATCTACTACTCAATGAGTCTATGTGACCACAGTAACCAGTACTGTTGACAAATAGGTTGGAGAATAAACAGAAGAGAGAAGACTGAGGTGAGCGTCCCCTCCCTGAAAGGAGCTGAGCCATCTAGGTGTAGCTGAGTGGTACATAGATCCCAAGCAGGGAGTGTATTAGTCATGTCAATTTATTTTCTGTTTTTTGTTCCTTTGACATCTATGGCATTGCTGACTCTAGAGAGACTGCCCCTCCCAGGCTAGCCAGGTCCTAGAGAAAGAAAATGATTTACCCGTGAATGTGCCTTTCAAGTGCAGACCAACCAATCCAGAGCCCATACCTCCTTCCTCTCCTCCATTGGGCTCACATACTCAGGACCACTGTCTCCTGCTCAAATCACCCCAGGAATAAGGACCAGATAATAAGGGACCACCCCTGGACCTCAAAGCCAGCTGCAAGTATCCAAATGGGTCAATCCTGTCTGCTTACCGATGCTTGCTCCTTCCCGTGAAGACCACAGTCAAAGCTGTTGTTGCCCACGCTTTTCCCTCACTCCCTCCGCTCTGGCCAGACCCTGGTGCTTCCCCATGTGGCCCTCCTCTTGAGATCTGTGAGTAAATCGAACTATCTTTTCAAGGGCAGCCATCTGCTGTTCTGCAGGCCCTGTCATACCTATAGAATAATAAAACCTGTATTTTAAAACTGCGTGCCATGGAGAGCAGGCAAGAGAGCTTCTGCTCTTGCCACCTAGAGGTGACTTGCACTTGTCCAAGTGCGAAGCACATCATATGAATGACTCCCAGGGTTAACTATTGTCACAATTAGGCACCAGCGCCACAGCGTTGAACGGTCCCTCTCCTCAGGACACCTTCAGACTACCAGAGCATCAGTCAGGGGGGTCCGCATTTACGCCAAGAGGGGCAGAGCAGGCTCCGGCAACCTGGAGAAGGATGAGCCAGATGGAAAGAGATTTAGGCAAACAGTGTACGTCAAGCCCTAAGGGAAAGTAGGTGGCAGGTTCCCTACCTTAGCACAATGCCTGGGCACACAGTGGACACGGTTTTGTTTTTCAGTTATGCCGAGGCAGGAACAGGTTCAGTGGCACGTGGGGACTCCTACAGACCAGCTCCAGCCATGCTGGCGTTCTCACGCGGGCAGAGCCCTCCCGGACTGCGTGCAGTGACGGGCACTTTCCCGCAGCGGAGCGCTCACTGTGCGTTTACGAACCGCCAGTACCTTCTCCGTGCCTGGAACGGCGCCCTTCCCCACACAAGGCTAGCAATCAGGACTCAGACCTCACGGCTTGAGGCGGTCCCTGCCCAGAACACAAATGAGGCCCATAGGAAAGTCCATGGGGGAGGCCAGCAGCAAGTCGCGGCGCCCCATGCTCCTTCCTGCCCCAACCCCCGAAGCCAGAGGCTGGGGGAACAGCACTGTTTTTATATCACAAGGGGCCAGCGCCTTCTGGAGGGGTTTGGCTCCAGACTGGGTCATGAGTTAGAAGAGCCACACTGTTTCAGTCATGATATGGCAACAGAACTTTGGTGTTAGTTTCCTGACCCGCAGAGAGGAACACCAGCGAAGTTCCCTTTCCTGACAGGAGGGGACCTCTAAGGTCATGAAAATTCACGAAAAGACCAAGAGACCTATCAGGTCCGGCCCTCACCTTTCTGCTCAGTGGGAATCTCAGTATTGATCCGGTGGAATCTATTTCTTCCTTCATCTTTAGTAAAAATCTACAATGCTGTCATAGGAGTCAAAGAGATCAGGAGGTGCTAAAGTTACAGCTGGAATTTAGCCATAATCCCACATGCAGAGGAGATAAAAGGGTGACAGAGGCCAATATCACATTCCTCACACAATATCAATTTAAATTAAACTTCCTTTAATGAAATAAAAAACAAATGGTGCATTGCATAATATTTGTGGTCACAGTATAAAACAATACAATTAGTTCATATAACATTGGATATGGACAAAAAATACACAAGACCCTTCCTTTGTCTACATAAAATTCGGCAGATCCTATGTGCCACGCTACAAAAGAAAAAGTCAACTTTTTTCTCCTAGTGATCTGCACACAATGTTTATCACTGAGAATCTGGTCAAACAGTGGAAGAGAACTTACCCAAATCTCAGTTCCCTTCTTCCTCTGTTGTCATCGGTGAAGCTAAAAAAAAAGTTTTCTGAAAGTAGCCAGTTGTGTAGTATTGCTTATTATTCCTGCCACAAAGGCTCAGTCTTTGGCTCACAGATGCCAGTGACAAGATCATGGCTGCAGGCCATCTGCAAAGCAAGAAGCAAGAGCCACGGGGTGAGGGGAGGGCGGGGGGCGGACAGGGGCCTGCGCAGGAGGAGCCTCCTTCACCAGGGTCTCACGGAAAGCCATGCCGATGGGAGGGGAGAAAAAACACAAATAAATACATTTCTAAATTAAGATCTTACTTTCTAAATTAAGAGCTAAATTAAGTGGGTGAGTCAGAGTTCCACCGTCCCGGGAAAAATCTGAGAAGTTGATAAAAAGTCAGAGTCTGCATTTTTTTTAAGTGTAAAGTTTATGTAAACATAATAAAGTAAACAATCGAAAGTAATTTTGAGGCTCCTCTCCGAACACAGGTTAGGTTCTTTCTGGGGATACTTTTATGAGTAGGAAAAAACCCTAACATTTTATAAAGTTTCTTTTTGTTCAAAAGTACATCATCATCCAGGCGAATCCTGGCCAGGTCCTCCCTCCACTCGCCCAGTGCTTCCGGCAAGATCCTCTCCCAGAAGAGCACTTGGTGGGGGCTCTATTTGGTACAACGTAAGAGTGTATCTCATACCCTTAAAAGGACATACACCCTGGCAAGCTCATGTCCCTGGAAGGAATGAGGTCCTTGGTACAACACCCTGGGATTTTCCCCTTTGGCTAGCCTGCGGGCGACTGGCGGTTTGGCCAGCCCAGTGAGTGGAGCGTGGGGTTGGGGTCAATGCCTTCACATCCCGAGCCTTGAACTACAACAGCACTTTGAAAGAATAAGGTACAGTATGTGAGCACCATCATCTTTGTTACTATCAAGGGTCTGGTGTGAACCCATCCATGGTTTCACATACACCTGGGGCCACCTGGTCATGTCCCAAGCTAAGTACCCTTTCCTCCTACCAAGAAAGGCCTGTGCTACAACAATCCGGAATCTTCTAGTAAGCATGATCAGCGCCAGGGCTCAAGGGCACTGGCCGTCCCCTCACACAGCACCTGTTGGGGCGCGTTCTCTTTAATTCCGGTTTGTACAATCTCCTGTGACCCGCCTTCTCTGAGAGAGCAGTCAGGCAGCGACACATGCAAAACACCCAACTCTAGTGCTACCAAGGCCTCCCCCCTCCCTCTAGCCACTCGGGCTCCGCTGGGGCACCCCTGCCGCCTGTACTCCCGGGTTTCATGTGTGCCTGGAATTCATCTGCGCTGCTGCCACCAGCACAGAGTCCCGTTCCTATCCCATGAGCGGTCCCCTCGGTGGGCAAAACAAAAAGGACGAACTGAGGGGGGCGTCTGCCTCCAGAGGACTCGGTGATGAGTGCGGACGGAATCGCGGGCCGCGGGGTGAGGGAGCTGGAGGGGAGCTGGGGAGCGGGGAGGGGTCTGGCTCGTCCGGCCCACTGCGACAAAGAGCTGTACATGAATGGCCATCATTTTGTATAACTTTATTGCTCAAAACAAACGCGTCTTTTTTTCCTCTTCGGAAGACAGAGGAGTGTTAGATCCTTCAGAGCCACAATAGCAGCACAGAGGAGTGCAAAGTAGGGCATGAGTCACCTGTGAGCCTCAGGGAGCCCCACCGGAGGCTTCCGAAAGGCCAGCGCGATGCCGCTGGCCAGACGCTTCAGGGAGCGGAAGATCTCTTTTGGTCCGTGGTCCTACTCCTGGGATGAGCAGTCGGGCCAAAAAGACTGCTCTCAGAGCTACTTTGTAGGCTGTTCACATGGCAATAACTTGCTGGGTTTCCTTCATGTTCCTAATAAGAAAGCAAACCCCACAAAGTCTACCCTTTCTCACTAAGCCCTTGCAGGGGATCTTACAAAGGCCTGAAGGACTGAAAAGGTCAGAGGAAATGCACGGTTCTTCCAGGCAATTTCTGATTCCATGATTCAGCCAGTCTCGCCAGCAGCAACTGTCCTTCACGTTAAGGAGACCACGCAGCCCGTGAAGGACGTGGGGTTTCTGCGCGTCCTCCTGGCCATCCCTTGGTGCCCAAGGCCTCTGCCTCCTGCAAAGGCCAGGATTGGGGGACGGGGGTGGCTTCTTCCTCCTGACACACCACTGACCCTCCCGGCAGGGGCTGCAGAGACCTAGCTCTCAGGATACGCCTTCCGCTCTCCCTGGGGCCCCTCAGAGCCCAGTGGCCTCCACTCTATCGGAGTGTCCGTTCCTTCCCACGTCCCCAACCTCCTCTTCCTTGCGGACCTTCTTACTGCCCTGGACAGAGGTGGCTGTGTAGTTTTCTTCATATTCATTCTTAAGGCTAAGGTGTCAAGATAAGGTGCTCGGTGGAGAGCCAAATTCTAGATTCCAGGGCTGCCATTCCAGCACGCTCACGTAAAGCAAAGAGCAAAGAAATGGAAAGGGGAAGAGAGGCAAAAACCAAAATATGCATTTGGGCCTGATAAGAAGTTACAGACTGCAAGTTTAGAATTCAAATGTGGTCTAAACCCCTGAAAACAGGGGATGGGGCAGAGCAGGAAAAGGTACAGTTCACCTCCGGCACAGGTCTCTGTGGTCTCGGCCGGCGCAGAGGGCAGCGGGGCGCCGCTCCCCGGGCACCTGCCCCCGACCCTGAAGCCGCTCTCACCCAGGACAGAGATCTCCGAATGCCATCACCCCGTCCTCACCACAATCCCTCAGGACAAAAGCCATAAACACACACACGTCAGAGATCTATAAACCAGTAGGAGAAAAAAATTAGACAGAGGTTAACCATTAAAAAGCCGCAGTTGGGAAAAGACACACTCGATTGTCCTCAGAAAGTGCCGTGGGAAGAAAAGCTGTGTGCTGGTAAACGTGTCCGCGCTCAGAACTGGACATGCAGAGGAGAGAGCGCCGAGTCCCACCTGAGATTAGAGAGGACTGGGTTTTAGTGTCACACACTTCACGTTAAAATACCACTGTCCTCTTCTCGCCCAAATCACTCCTAGACTGTCCCCGTCGTTGCCTCGGCTGGGCGCCCGCCTAGTCCATCTCCATGGACATGAGCCGGCGGCGCTCACGCCTGGTCTCCTGGACCTCCTTCTTGCAACACCAGTGGGAGCTGCAGTACCCGATGAGGCAGGACAGGAGCCCGACGACGGTGGACAGGCCGACCCCGATGAGCAGCGGGTACTTGAAGGCGTTCAGCACTGGGAGGGGAGAGCAAAGGGAAGCCGGTTAGCAGTGCCAGGGCAGCGGCTGCGGGCAAGGCCGCCGCCTCCTCTCCCCGCAGCGCGCTCAGACCGCATGCGTCTGGTCTCCCGCACCTAGCACAGCCCTTTTGATAGCATCATCTCAGCCCTATTTGTCCAAAAAGTGAACAAACATCTCTCCACAGAGCTCTGTGCGGGGAGGAGATGGGGGACAAAACAGAAGAATGATTTCTCAATGTCTTTGAATGTCAATTTGCTTTTTAGGGTTTTGGCAGGAGACTTGTTTTTTAAAAGTCAGTATAAGGGCGCCGCACTCTCCGCAGCAGATGCCTCGTTAAAAAGAAAAAAAAAAAAACACAACCTGTACGTAAACCAATTCTATGCATCAAACGACTGAAGTGTATGAGGGGGCTATTTTAAGTAACACTATAGTAAATTATTGAGCGAAATGAAAAATCACCCCCGCACTTGTTTGGTAAATCTGGGTTTTCATATGGAGCCACTTCAAAGAAAGCATTTCTAAGATGCAAATACGGTGCCAGTGTCAGGAATGCACAAGCGCTGTTTGGGTCCCCTGCCCCCACTCCTGCTTCCCCGGGCCCCCCCGGAAGTCCCCACACTCCTGGGGGGAGGCTGGCACTGTGGGAAGCGCCTGACATTTAACATGGCTGCACTTTCACAGCTGCCTGAGGAAAGGTTATCATCCCGTTTTCCAAGGGAGGGAATAAAGGATCTGAAGGTCTCCATCATCTGCGCAAGAGCAGGGAGTCACGTTCTGGTCTCCCCAAGACTGACAACATCACCAGGGAAACAAACTCAAAGCGCCTCGTAATGCTCAGAGGCACCTGGATTTTAATTCTCTCTGTGGAGTTTTCTTCGATTAACGTTAACTCTGACAATTTTTGCAGAAGACATTTCTCATTAACCAAGGAATCACCGTCCCTTGCAGGGGGCAGGGCAGGGAGGGGCCCTCTGACCACCTCCTTAGGCTACACTGGTGGTCAGCGGGAGCCCAAAAGGCCGAGAGCACCCCCGCCCACCCTGACAGCAGGAGGAGCCTCCCTTTCCCAAGAAGCAGAATCCCGAAGAGGGCAAAGGGGCAGGAACCCACTCGCCGCCTGGCCTGAGCCCTGAACCTGCTCTCTCCACTCCGCCCTCTGCCTCTGGCTGGCACAGAGAGTTTATAGAGAATTTATAAAAAGCACTGAATCTTTGCAGGCGGTCTTAACAGTCATTTCTCAGTGGTGCCTCCAGCATCCGATACCAAAGCTGAGCAAACAGCAAGGGCTGCCTGTGTTCTTTCTGGTACTGGCCTCGGCCAGGCCTAGAGAAAACCAGGCCGTGTTCTGACACATTCCTCAAGCGGGGGAAGCCTGGCTTCCGTCAGCTGTGGCCTAGAGCACAATTAGCAAGTTGCTCTTACCATCCATCTTCACAGTTATAAAGATGGGCTTGGAGTAGATCTCTGCCTCCTTCTGCCAGGAACCTGTGGGCGACTTCACCCAGGGAGTCACGGAACAGTAGTAGTTGCCGAAATCCTGGTCCTCGGAGCCGTGCACCTGGAGCAGGAACTCCAGCACGCTCACGCGCTCCAGGCTGAGGCCGCTCTTCCAGTCCCTCCGGGCTGTGCTCACAATCCCCTTCCGGTCCAGGGACGACAGGAGGATGGGAGCCTTGTCCAGTCCGAAGGAGTGCACCGCAAACCAGGACACATCGAAGGCCATGTCATCTACGGATCACCAAGCCAAAACCCTGGGGTCAGTGCAATGGGCAGAAATGCCACGTGTGGCTGACACGCATGCCGCCTGACGACGGGCCAGCACTGCTCTACCTGCCTGAGGTCTCACCGAAGCCTCACACCATCCCTGTGATGAAGGCGCCATCACACTCCACACCCTATACCCGTGAGGTCACACAGGCAGGAGGTACAGAGCATGTGTCTTAAGCCAGGGAGTCCAGCCCCAGGGTCCCCCTCTTAACCATGTCGCTGCCACCACTCAGCCTACGGAGCACAGGAAGAATGAGACCCCAACTGTCTCCGACAAAGAACACGGGATGTAGAGGTGGTACGTGATGACGTCACACACGTCACACACTCTGTCTCCCAAAGAAAGCAGAGTCCTTTGACATTTTTGGGCAGAAGCACCCAAGACTGGAAAGACACAAAAGTCATAAGAAACAATAGGTACATCGAGTGAGTTGTACATAAATTAGAGCTGTAAACAGTTTTGATTTTACTGTTCGCTGTGGTTCCGCCCCACCCCCAACAGAAATGCGTACATGCAGAACCAGAGGAAAAAATGTCAAGCTGAGAAAATTGAATACAGTTTAACAGTCCCGGAGAGTAATGCTGCTGAATCGTAAAGTATGCGGCAAAATTAGGGTTCTAACAGCCTCAAATAAATTAATACGGGCACTCGAGAAAGAAGACTTTGGCACAAGTCGTAATTCTCAAAGAATGGAAAAAGAGAATGTCTACCAGGAGCCCCTGACCTCTTCTTTTGATTGTTACCAACCAGTATCAACTGTGGCAGGTCTGAGATTCAGCCAGCAAGCAAGAAAGGACTGCAATGCCACAAACACTTTTATCTTAAATTCACTTGACAAGGCTTTCTATAGAAAGGTTAAATAACACAATTTTGGCTTAACAAAGTAACACTCATGCAGTAAAAATACACATTATTACCTCAAAATCACATCACAAGGCAAATACATTACAATATTCAGATGCCCGCGAGAATTTCTACAAAACTATCCAAATGATCGTTCCTTTTCAACTCACTCTAAAAACATTAAGGGCCTTGGAACATCTCAGCTCTCCATACAGGATGACGGCTCTCTACTCTGATCCTCAAAAATACCTTCTTTTCCTCCCCTTTGACCCACTGTGGCGCTTGAGCATAAAATCTGACTGTTCCCAGAGTAGAGGTCATCTCTTGCCAAGAAGACCAACTCCCCGGGGACAGAGAGAGTGCGGTCAATGTCCTCACACCCCCATGGAGCCAAAGCAGAGTGGGCACCTGCAGCGCCAGCTCAGAGCTGCTGTCGCCTGCACAGGCCGGGGGTGACTGAAGGCAAAAAGTCACAGGGTGTCCCTGTGACTTGTGCCCAGACTCTGACCCCAGTCCTGCCGTGCCTTATCGTGCAGTGGCCAGGCCGCAGGGCCGGGCTAGACTCCCAGCACCAGCACTTGTTAGCCCTGTGGCCTGGGTGAGTCACTCAAATTCATGGCAACTCAGTTTCCTCATCTCTAAGATGAAAATAACAACATCACCATGGTTAAGACAGTTATCTTTATAAAATGCTTAGAACTGCTGACCTGGCTGGTGTGGCTCAGTGGACTGAGTGCCAGCCTGCAGGCCGAGAGGCAGCTGGTTTGATTCCCACATGCCTGGGTTGCGGGCCAGGCCCCCAGCTGGGGGTGTGTGAAGGGCAACCCATTGATGGATCTCTCACCCATGGATGTTTCTCTCCCTCTCTTTCTCCTTCCCTCCTTCGCTCTCTAAATAAATAAATACATAAAAAAAAATATTTTTAAAAAAGAAAATGCTTAGAACAGCCCTGGCTGGTGTGGTTCAGTGGATTGAGCACCGGCCTACGAATCAAAGGGTCACTGGTTCAATTCCCAGTCAGGACACAAGCCTGGGTTGCAGTCCAGGCCCCCGATAGGGAGACAACAACACATTGATGTTTCACTCCCTCTCTTTCTCCCACCCTTCCTCTCTCTAAAAATAAATAAAATCTTTAAAAAAAAAACCCAAAACTTAGAACAGCACCTGGAAGGTAGTAAGTGCATAACAGAAGTTGGTGGCCACGAACAACACCCTTACCTCCACAGTTCAACATACAGCTCTACAAACAGGTGCTGCTAATAGGGGAGCACGACTGCCCGCAGCAGAGGCTCTCGGTGCCCCATCCTGACCAGCTGGTGCGCTGAGCCCCCAGCTGCTGCGGGTGTTGGCTGCGTAAGCTCCCACACCTGGACTGTCCTCCTGAGGACTGGCGTGAGCTGACAGAAGCCACCTCCGGAAGGGTAAGAAATGCCCTCACTCCCCAGCCATCCAGCCTGTGAACAATGACTGACTAAGAAGGGACGTAAGAGCTCAGCCCTTTCCCTCGAGGTCACACTCTGTGGTGCCACCCACTCCCCGGAGCTCCCTAGGGGGTTAGACTTGTCCTGAGTTCGCATCTTAGCCTGGCTTCTCTCCTGCTCTGTCCTGACCCCCTCGCTCCCGCATGGTTTTCTCCTGAGAGCGCACTTTCAATTAATCACTCGCATGCTTGTCTCAGGTTTTGCTTCTAGAAAACCTGACCTAAGACACCATCTCTAAATGGCCGCCACCTGCCCCTGCCCTCTCCCCACCTTGGCACAGGTGTGGCTTGGCACTTGGCCGCTTATGAAACCTGTCCTTTCCAAAAAGAGGATTCCTTCACAGCCCACAGGATGCATGAGGGAAAACTACATTACAATTTGCGTTTAATTATTCAGACTCTTCCATCCACAGAGTCCAAGAGGGCAAAGTTCTGGAAAATTGTGATCTGCAAGATAACAGCTACCTATAAGCTTTTGCAATTCCTCTGGAAGAAAAGACTTGTTCTATTAAAGGCACCATTGGTGACCCGTTAATTTACTGAGAAAGAGCATTTAAATGATTTATTTTTGTATCTATCATAAATGAGCTTTAAGGGTAAAAATGGTATTACCTCATTCCAACTTTTGGAAAGGATTTCCCTCCCCTTCCCGGGCAGCCTTTTCCTACTTTTACCTTCGTTTTCACCCGTAAATCCTCTGTGTCCTCAATCCTCGGCACCTCAGGCAGGATACAGTCCTGTGCAGCGTAATAACCGCGTATCGTGGTGGTCCCATAAGATTACAATGGAGCTGAAAACTTCCCATCGGGTAGTGACGTCACAGCCACATCACCGCGCGTCACTCGCATGTGTGTGGTGATGCTGGGGAAAGCTCGCCCACCATGCTGCCAGCTGTACAGAAGTAGAGCGCGTGCACCCCCGGGGCAGGCCCCACCACGGAAGCTTGTGAGGGTGCACCCCACGACGTTTGCTCGGCGACAAAGCTGCCTGCCGCCGCACTTCTCAGAACGTCCCCGCCCCACATCTCCTCCCCAGCCCCCGGCCCCGCCCCCCAGTCATCTTTATGCAGCACAGGACTGTAGTGGAAGCTCATTCAGGACCCTGGTTCCTCATTCCTCCCTCCCTCCAGGAGAGCATTCGCCCTCTCTGTTGTTTTGGATGGTTTCTGTCTTGTCTTTTTCTTACACTTCCCATAATCTCTTCCTTTTCCTACCTCTGAAGCTCAACCACGTTTGGGTTCCCTAAGAGAGACAATCTGGGCATCCATCAGCTGGTCCCGGGCTCAGAGCTATAACCTGCAGGGCAAATCCTGCTGCCGTTTGCTTGCTTCTGTAAACAGCCTCCTGGAACGCTGCCGCGGCCCTCATTTGCACTGTTCCGCTTTCATGCACAGCGGAGTTGGGTAGTTGCTGCACAGACCACCTGGTCTACAGAGCCAAAAATCCTTCCTACCTGGATCCTTCACAGAAACTGGTCACCAACTCCGAGCTGGCTGCCACCTGAACCTTCGCCAGGTGGTCCTGCAGGGGCCAGACCTTCAGCGGCGGCCACTCAGGCCTCTGCTCCTCGACACCAGCTCCGCCCAGTCCCCCCTCATGCTGTTCTCACTGGCTTCACTGCAGGCCACCCTCCCTTTGCTTATAACCTACCTTTTATCTCAGAATGAACACCTGCTTCCAGGGTCCACCCCAGGCCACACGGCCAGTGGTCTCTGCACAGCACTTTGTAAAACCTGTACAGATTTGGTCTGTTTATAGTACAGACATGGCCTGGAAGAGGCCACGGCTCTGCTTGTGAGGTGGTGGGCAGCGCAAAGACGCCCAAGGCCAAAGCCTGTGGAGGAGACGGCCGGGCGTCGGCCGTTCCATGAGCTCTCTGGAAGGCAGAGGTGGGTACAGTCCTGCTCAGCATCAGAGACATCTAAGTGCATTTGCATTTTATGTTCTTTTAAATAAAAGTGAGAGAGGCACATCGACTGTCACGACAGGGGCGCCAAGCAGCAAGGGTGTGAGACCAACGGTCCACAGCTCTTTGGCATCCTGTTGGCAGTGAGAGCATTTTCTGCAAAGAACCAATTTCCAAAGATTTTCTAAGAATTTACTCTACACTAGCAACCCGGGATCACTCACTACATGTTTATTTTTTTCAGTATTTCTTCATAGCATCAATCACTATCTGATATTATACGGTGATTTCTTTCTTGTCTGTCTCCTTAACGAGTTCGCTAGTGCCACGAGGGCAGACTTTGAATGTTTTGTTCACTGCTCTACTCCCAGCATCTAGAGCAGCACCTGTGCACAGAGGTGCTCAATAAACATCTGAACAATTAAGTGAACAAAAGACAAGGGTGATGAGCCTCACTCTGCCGGTGGATTTCAAACCAGCTTGAATCAGCCCTGGAAGTGGCTCACTGATCACCTTGACAACCAGATTAAATATCTGGATGTGTTTCCAATTCATCTAACAGACAGATGCATCCATTCAACAGATATTTATTGAACACCTACTGAGACAAAGTCCTGAGTCAAGCAGTTCGGGGATAAACAGACAACCCAATTCCTGACTTGTGCATCTGTGAAGCATAGCAGGATGATGCAAGAAACATTTACAAAAAGCCCCATGGGCAAGGAGGGAGGGTGGGGAGAAGTACCTGGATCCAGGGCTGCTCCTTCGACAGTGACGATGCAGAACAGTTTGATCAGGTCTCCCCGGATGACTGACGTTGTGTCTGAGTACACGGAGGCATTAAATACAGGACCTGGAAGACAGTGGTTACTGTTATTCTCTCTCCTACTTTGAAGCCCCACTCTGGATGCTCTGAGGCCGTCTAAGTGAGTCTCTCTTTCCTGGGAACAGCCTTAGAGGCTGTGCTAAGGCCACTTCTCTTCTACTGAGACAACCGAGCATGGGCACGTGCAAATGAGCTCCGTTTTAAGACTGCAAGCAGGAGAGAACACTTTCTAAAGATTTACTTTGCTTCTGGCTCTTCCTTTACGTCTTCTCTGATGACAACCATGTTGTCATTTGAAGGCCACCCCAGCCTCCCACCCAGAGACAGCCTGAGTTGTTTCTGGTTCCTCGTGATTCCAAGCCAAGTGGCTTGGCGATTAGAGGTCAGGTCTGAATCACAGACACTGTTGGTTCTGGTGGAATGAGCAGGCTTATTGTGCTGGTGCCGGGGACAGGGTCCTGCGGCTGAGAGGCTGCCAGCCAGGAAGGAGACACAGGTGCCAACGATGACAACATTCCCAGCAAGCACCCTGATGCATGGAAAGCACCGTGCTGATCTGCTGGGGAAAGTGAGGCGGCGTGGATATACCTTTAAAAAGAACTACCCAGGAGGGACCTGTCTTGCACACCTTCTAGCGAACACTCCAGCTCACTTTGAGAAAAGGCCCCTTTCCTTACTCCAAAGGCCAGAAGGTGGTCCGCCCACGCCACGCCACGCCGACCCCTCACAGTACCATCTCTTGCTGCAGGGCAGCGGTGCCTCTCCCTCCCAGCTTTTTAGCTGTAAGGCAATGAGCATGCATATGTGCAACAAAATAAGAAGTATAAAGGCTGAACACATAAAGAGAACTATCTGTGCCTCCTCTCTCCTTCTCAGGCAGGATCTAGGGACTGCATTTGTTTTCTAACCCCTTCATGGCTCCCTTTTTGGGGACAGCATTCCATAGCTTTAAGCCAACCTGATCGTAAACAGCCCAGCATTTACCTTATCTTATTTCCTAATACTAGGTACAGGCAACCCTAAGGAAGGTTCTAGAATACCAACACTATGGGATTTTCATTGGGCTTCCTGGGAAGCAAAGACAGATGACCCTGAACACTGATTCTGAAACTCATTAGAAGCTAAGAATACAGGTGTTACCACCTTTTGAATCAGATAACCAGAAAGAAAAAGGCCCCCCCCCCCCCCGCCCTTTTTAAACACCTAAAAGAAATGACTATAAGAGAGTAAAAGGTCTTGCAACCCAATCAGGCAGAGAATGGAAAGAGGCTGTATTTTCATTTCAGCATGAGTAGCGGATGCACTCATCCAATTGCTTTCCTAACACCAAGCACCTGAGTTACCCGCGTTTTGCCGAGAGGACAGCGAAGGGCAGTTGGAGAACACGGAAACCCAGCGAGGTTAGACAGCCCGGGGCGGGTTTGGCTGACAGTCCAGGTTAACCTGGAAGGAACTTAACTCTAGAGGAGGAGAACAGGACAAAACAGCAGTCCTAGCAAACACGGGAAGGGATGAAAGCGCAGAAGACGAGGAAGCGTTACCTACTGCTGGATGCCACGTCCGTCCCCCATCACCCCGGCTCTCAGCCGTGGTGCCTCAGGTCCTTCCCGCCCACCCTGCGTTTGCTCTGCTTATGGCAGTGGGGCGGGAAAAGATGAAGCCAGTTGCTTCAGGCTGGCTCGGTGGTGAGGACTGGGCCACTTTGTGCCACATGTGGCCATCTGTGGGTACAGGTGAGCAGTGGGGACCACCTTTTTTCCTCTGATGATAATTTCATGATAATACAATAGAGCTATAATGAGGGGTTTTCTTAAAGTGTCCTTTCTAAGAGAAGCAACATGATAAAACATAGTCTCATAACAGATTTAGGTTTTTATTTACTTAATTTGAACCAGCAAGGGGAGGCTTTCCTAATTTGGACAAATTTCCCTTTCTTTTCTTTATAGTACCAGAGAAAACCCAAAATGCCTGTAGGTCACAAGTCACAGTTCTCATTCTCCCTTGTGGCCCCGGCTGTGGGAACAACAGAGCACTTGTGCTGCAGCTCACTGTGCAGACGAGGACGGGGAACGGCCTTCACTGTGGGCCATTCACAGCAGCGGGTGTCCCTCTAATGAAACCAACTCACTGTTAACGTGGGTCATTATCCCAGGCTTAGGAATATTTTTATTGTGGCCGGTTTCTGTGGTAATGCTGTTTTTGTGAGGGGATTTGTCTGGTTAACTTCAGGATGACAGACGAGGGCACAGAGAATTTAAGTGAACCACCAGAGTCACTAGGGGTCCCCCGATTGCAAGTCTGCAGAGAGTATATGCACCGCTTGGCTTTTAAATACAAACATTGACACAAACCATCTTCCAACTCCAGCCCATAAAAAAAGGCTGTTAACAGCAATACTTTTGTGAAAGCCAAAATTACAGACCATCTGTGTGTCTACCAATAGCGTGATGGTTAACCAAATTCTTGTAGGTTTAGTCATTCAAGTTGGTGTTTACCTAGAATTTGTTATAACATGGAAAATGTTTATCTCATAATGTTATATGGGGGAAAAGCAGGTCATAAGATTGTATACACAGTCTGATCTCAAAGTAACGAAGGCAACATACAAGAGAAAAATTCGAGGAAGGCTGAGACTGCAAATCAAGTTTACAGATGATTCTCTTTTCCTTCTTTTTACTTTACTGTATTTTTACATTTCTCTATTAAGGAGAAAAACTTCATTTTTATTCTTTTTTTTTTTAATTTATTTATTTTTAGAGAGAGGGAAAGGGAGAGAAATATCAATGTGTGGTTGCCTCTTCTGCGCCCCCTACTGGGAATCTGGCCCCGGTAGGCATGTGCCCTGACTGGGAATTGAACCGGTGAACCCTTTAGTTCTCAGGCCAGCACTCAATCCACTGAGCCACACCAGCCAGGGCTGTTTTTATTGTTTTAACAGACCAGAACTCTCAACACAGTCCTCCTACCACAAAGCAAATGCCCTGGGACTCAGGAGAGGAAGGTGGACATCAGGAAGGACCTCCTTGTTGCGTGTGTCTGACAGTGTGCTGTTGATTTTTAAGAGGTGATGGCTCCTCAGTATCAAGTCACTGTTCGCTGGGAGCTATTCAGGCTGCGGCACTGTGCTGGCTGCTGGGCTTGATGATCGCTCCTCTTAAACTGTGAACTGGCCGCGACAACTCCAGGGACTTCAATAAAAACCTTAGGCAGTCCATTCATCCTGGAAGCTACCAATATCTATATATATATTTTGTTATGCTGACCCTTAAAGAATTGAAAAATAAATTCAATACCCATTCCTTACCAAGCAATACAAAAGACTTTATGTCTCCCCTCTTCCTCATAAGTTTTCAAGAAACATCAAATAAGAAATGTAAGATGGAATAAATGCCTACAGACAGTAAAACGGATACGCAAATAAAAGAGAAAAAACACATAATCACCTGAATCTTCACGAACACAGAAAAAGTGGTTCAAAACACCCAGCCCCTCTTTATGATAAAAAAAAAAAACCCTCAGCAAACCAGGACTGAAAAGAAACTTCGTCAAATGAATAAAGAGCATCTATGAAAAATGCACAGCTCCCATTATACTTAGTGGTGAAAGACTAAACATTCTGTGTCTCCCTACCCCTCAGATCAGGGAGCAAGGCAAAGATGTCCATTTGAGCCACAACTATTAAACACGGTACTAGAGGTTCTAGCCAGGGGAATTAGGCAAGAAAAAGAAATAGACAAGGTATTCAGTTTGGAGAGGAGGAAGGAAAACTATATTTTCAGGGCATGTACAAGACTCAACCAATGAATGCATGAATAAGTGGAACAACAAATCAATGTTTCTCTCCCTTCCCCTCTTTCTCTCTCTAAAATCGATAAAAGTTTTTAAAAATTTTAAATAAATTTCAATAATAAAATAAATTCCAAGGAATCAGCCAAAAAAACTGGTAAAATAAACAAGTTCAGCAAGATTGCAGAATACAAGATCAATATACAAAAATCAGTTGCATTTCTGTAGACTTGCAACAAACAGACTGAAAGAAAATTAAGAACGTAATTCCATTTACAAGAGTATCAAAAAATACTTAGGAAATATTTAAAGAAAAAGGTTTGAAATTTGTACACTGAAAACTACACAGCACCACTGACAGAAATTAAAAAAGACCCAAATAAATGGAAAAACCTTTCATATTCATGGAATGGAAGACAATACTGTTAAATGGCAATACCCTTCAAAGTGATCTACAGATTTAATACAATCCCTATTTAAGTCCTAGCTGTCCTAAAATTCATATGGAAATGCAAGAGACCCAGAATAGCCAAAGCAACTTAAAAAAGAACAAAGTTGGAAGGCTGACACTTAATTTCAAAACCTACTGGCCCTGGCCAGGTAGCTCAGTTGGTTAGGGCATCAACCCAATATGCCAAGGTTGCAGGTTCAATCCTCAGTCAGGGCACATACAAGAATCAACCAACGAATGCATAAATAAGTGGAATAACAAATCATGTTTCCCTGTCTCTCTCCCCCTTCTTCCCTCCTTCTCGCTCTCATTCTCAAATCAATTAAAAAAAAAACTTATCACAAAGCTACAGTAATAAAAAAAATGTGTTACTAGCATAGAAGCAGACATATAGATCAATGTGAGAACCGGGGGTCCAGAAGTAAACCCTTGCGTTTATGGCTACGTCCCTTTTGACGAGTGCCCAGTCAAGTCAGTGAGGGAAAGGAACAGACTGATCCAGAAATGGCACTAGGACAGAGCTAGGTGTTCACATGAAAAGGAAAAGAGCTGAATCCCTTCCTCATACCACACACAAAAAAATTAACTCAAAAAATAAATTGGACTTTGTCAAAGTTAAAAACTTGGGTGCTTTAAGGGACACCATTAAGAAAGTGAAAAAGCTACCCGCAGAGTAGTCTGTGAAGAAACTTGCATCTAGACTAAGAAAAACTCTACTAGTCAACAATAAAACAATAACAATTTAAAAATGGGCAAATGATTTGAATAGCTATTTCTCCAGAGAAGATATATATGTAGTTTCAAGAACTACATGAAAAGATGCTCAATATTTTTAATAGTCATTAGGGAAATGCAAATTAAAATGACATTGAAACACTTCTTCACACCCACTAGGTTGGTGATAATGAGAAAGATGGAGAATAGCTGGGTGAGTGCAGATGTGGGGAAATTAGAATTCTCATCCTTTGCTGGTGGGAATGCAAAATGGTGCAGCTGCTTTGGGAAACAGTTGGGCAGTTGGTCAAAGAGTTCAATAGAGTTACCATGTGACCCAGTATCACTCCTAAGAAATGCAACTTATGTCTACACAAAAACTTGAATGCTAATTTATATCAGCATTATTCAAAAGAGCCCAAAAGTAGCAACAACCTAAATGTCTACAAGTCGATGAATGAACAAAACGTGATGTGATCCATACAATGAAATATTATTTACTTGTAACAATGAAGTACTAATATATGCTATAACATGGATGAAGCTTAAAAAGATTGTGCCAGGTGAAACTACCCAATGATGACAGTCCACTTATATGATTTGATTCAGATGAAATATCCACAAAAGGCAAATCTATGGAGACAGAAAGATTAGGGGTTGCCAGGGGCTGGGGCCAGGGAGATGGGAGTGGCGAGTAATGGGTACAGAGTGTCTTTTTAGAGTGATGAATAAGTTCTGGAATTAGATACAACTCTACAAATATAGTAAAGCCACTGGGTTGTATACTGTAAATGGGTGAATTTTACGGTATGTTAACTATATCTCAATAAAGCTGTTCTTAAAAAACAAATTAGCAGATACATAATAAAAGAGAAGGGCTTTCACCATTCTTTTCAAATCTAAGGATTTAAATAAATATTTACTCTTTATTAATCTAAAGGGAAAAGAACTTAAAAGATGGCTGGAGATTATTTCACTATATGTACCTGAATTTTTACAGCAGAGTATGAGTTTACACATTCAGAAATTTCTAACTGGAGCCTGAAGCAGGTTGAGTGAAAAACACTGTGTCCCAAAACTCACAAATGATGATCCTTTATCTTGCTATTCAAAATAATGCTGGAGATCAAAGGCTTTTAAATCATTTACCTGCTAACACACACCTATACAGAGATCTGCCAGAGGAGCTTAATGAATTACACAGATGAACAAGAAATATTTCTATTTGAAAATATGTATCCATGCCGTTAAAAAAATAGTCAATCTTTCTACCACACAGGATAAAAACATTTATTCACGAAAGATAAAATCAATTCACAATATACATAAAAATGCCCTTGTTTTAATTAATGTTCCCAAAGGTGAACACCATTAGTAACTATTCTTAACAAACCAGGTTTAACAGATATATCCATCCACACTACTGCAGCTCTCCTGACTTGATTAATTGATAGGCCATGTCTTCCCAGTCCAAAAGCAAGGTCAGGCATGAGGTTGGGATACTCAGTCCCTGTATGGAAATACTGCGCTGATCTGTTGGGCCTAACATCGTGCTGTCACCTTCAGCCCTAGGGACCTGTCAGAGTGAAAGGCAAGGGGCTGAGCACAGCTGGGGCCTTATCTCTGCATTTTCCATCGTGTGCAAGGCATTTAACCTCTGGAGGCTCAGCTCCCTCTTGCCTTCATTTATACTCTGCCATGTTTCCTAAAGATTCTGAAATAGCTGTTTTTTAAAAAATCTACACCCGAGGATACGTTTATTTTTAGAGAGAGAGGAAGGGGGGAGGAGAGAAAGAGATAGATAGAGAGAAAGATAGAGAAACATCGATGGGAGAGAGAAACATTAATCAGTTACTTCCCATATGCACCCTGACCAGGGATCAAACCTGCAACCTTTTGGTGCGCAGGACAATGCTCCAAACAACTTAGCATCCGGCCAGAGCTGAAATAGCTATTTATCTATTTTTAAAAATGAGGGTAGTATGTTCATGCAAAAAAAAATAAATTATATGTGAATGTTCATACAGCATTATTCAAAATAGTCAAGAACTGGAAATACTCAAATGGCCATTGGATAAAGAATGGATGAACGAAACGTGGTATAGCCACAAAATGAAATATTACTCAGGCATAAAAGGAACGAAGACTTGATACACGCTACCCCGTGAAAACATTATGCTAAAGTGAAAGAAGCCAGACAGGAAGACCACATATTATATTCCGTTTATGGGAAATATCCAGACTAGGCAAGTTTACAGAGACAGAACACAGATGAGCAGTTGCTGGGGGACAGAAGGTTGTGGGCTGGGGGCTGTTGAATTGAAGGGCGTCAGCTAAGGGGGGCGGGGTGTCTCTGGGGTATAATGAAAACGTTCTACAACTGACTGCTGTGCTGGTTGCACGACGCTGTGAATATCCTGAAAGCCATTAGACTGATTGCACACTTTATTGTGTGTGTGTCCGTGCAGGGGGAGGGCGGGCGTGGGGCGAAGGCGGGGGGGGGGGCGGCGGTGGAGGGGAGGGCCAGGGCTGTGGTGTGCTACCAGTAGGCACACGCCAGGAACGCTCAGTATCCGACAGCGAGGGTTGCCAGTTTGAGCAAACAACAATTACACGTGGGAAGAGTGGCCAAATCAAGTAAGGACTCCCAGTTAAATTTGAATCAGATTAACAGTGCCGTCCGTCTGAAATTCAAGCTGAACTGGGCACCCTGTATTTAATCTGGCGACCCTGCCTTCAAAGCAACGGACAGGCTGCTACAACAAACAAGTATCAGGCCAAAATGTTCAGAGTGTGCAGGCTGAGAACGCTGCACAGGGCAGTGGTTCTGGGACCCCGGTTTGCCCCACAGCAGCGAGGAAGGAGCGGGGAGAGACTCAGGTGGCCGTGCCCGCCCGGGAGGTGCATGGTTCCGCCGGCCTGTGGCGGACCCAGCATCGGCATTTCCCCAAGTTCCCAGGTGACGCTGCTGTTGGTCACTGCCAGCGCTGGTTGGAGAACCACCATCCTACACAGAAGAGAGGCTGTATACCTCTGTGAGCAGGAGCGAGGAGAGGGCCTAGGCTTGCGTCACACACTTAAAATGGGTAAACTGTATGGCATATGACTCCTATCTCAATGTAGCTATTAAAAATAAATAAATAAAGCCATTGGGTCAAAACCCTAAGGCCTCTTCCAGCTCAATCTGTGCTTCCACAGGCTTCTCTGCTCACCTGAGGTTTGGAAGTCTATCTCGATAGGGTTGGAGAGACTGGTTGCTGCTTCTCGCCACAGGCTGCCCCTGACAGGAGACCAGGCTGTCACCATGCAGCGGTACAGCCCCGCGTCCGACACCTGAGTCTGGTACATTCGATAGCGGAATTCATCTTCCTGCACTTTCTCCAACACAACGCCATCTACCCGGGAGGCATCTGTCCAATTCTCCAGCTTCACCACAGAATCCTGGTCCAGGGAGATGATGTACTTGGTTTCGTTGGGACTAGAGAGGTCTCCAACAGGCTTCTCAGCCGTGATGAGAACGGAGTAGCGCGGTGACTTAATATTCTTGGAAGACACTTTGCAAGTCATCTCAAATGTATTTCCTGCAGCGAAGAAAGGCTTTGGCTGCCTTGCCTTCACCACCAGCACGGAATCTGCAATGAAGTAGCAGAAACAGGTGATTTCTAACGGGATCAGTTACAATGAATATGTATCTGAAAGAACACTGTCAAGGAAATAAGAATTTATTTGCAAATTGTCACACAATAACACTTCAGACAATCTGGAAACTCAAAAAGAAAGTCACTGCTGGATGAAGGAGGGCAGCCTAAAGTGATTTATTGGGTGTGAGGGAAGAGGGAATGTGAAGATTTGGTTTTAAGGCTTTTCAAGTCGTTGAGAAATTTTACTCAGAGCAAGAATTTGTGACCTGGCCAGTGTGGCTCACTTGGTTGGCATGTCATCCCACAAAGCAAAAGGTGTTCAGATAGATTCGGAGTCAGGGCACATGCCGGGGTTGCCGCTTCAGTGCCCAGTCGGGGCATGTACAAGAGGCAACTGACCACTGTTTCCCTCTCACATCGATGTTCTTCCCTCTCTTTCTCCCCCTTTTCCCTCTCTCTAAAAATAAATAAAACCTAGGAAAAAAAAAGGAATCTGGGAGGCCACTCGTCCGCCCCCCCCACCCCGCCCACCGCCCTCGCGCCCCTAGGGTGTGCAGGGGAGTCACTCAGTGATCTGGGCAAGACAGGCGCCAAGCGACGCCACGTGCCTCTCCTCCCCGAGGCTCCGTGGGTGCAGGGGAAGAACCCTGAGCTTCACCAGCCTGCTGGGAAGAGGAGGGCAGGGGGGGAAATGTATTCTCTCTGTTTGACACACGATGCAACATTACAGACAGATTTTTACTAATGTAATGGGAGCACACACTTGGAGATCTAGTCATTTCCACTGAGATGCTATTTGAATATTTTGAGCAAGTGTCCGTATCTACACTAACTTTAGGTCTTAAGTGTGTCACTCCCCGCATCCCTGTCAAAAAAATCCCAAAGCATATATACCTTAGAAGTCACCTGTATTAGAACAACTCAGTGCCAGGCACTTGGACGGCACCTAAGTATTTGTTGACTGGATGAATAAATGAAGTAAACACATTCTTTTTATCCTTTAATAAGATGATTAATTCTATAATCTATTCAGTCATACAATGAAATTTTTACATTGGGTTCTTTTGGGGAATAGCTGTTGCACCAAACCCGCTAGCGAACATGTATGTTGTGGTGTCTCTCCAGAGTCTCTGGCTCCCACAGACCCACCCCGATTCTATCTTGATTCTCCTGCGCCTGCGGCCACCCACTCACTAATTAAATGAATACTCATTGAGAGCTTCCCATATTCTTGGCACTGGGAATGTCACAGTAAACAAAACATACAGAAGTCCTTTCCTTTATGTGCTGGTGGAGGAAGATGAACAAAATCAGTAAGTAAAACATACGATACGGTTGGACGGTGATATTTGTTTAAGAGAAAAGAAAACAGGGAAAGAAGAAAAGGTGGTTTAGGAGGGCAGTGGGGAGGGTCACAATTTCAGCGGCCAGTGATGACCTCACTGAGAAGGAGCCCTCCGAACGAGGGCCTGAGGAGGCGAGGGAACGAGAGCTGGACCCACCCGGGGACGGGCACCCTAGGCAGAGGAACGGCCAGCAGAACGCCGTAGGGCGGAGGCGCGCCTGGTGACTGCGGGGACCCCTGGGGAGGGCTGCCTGGCTGAGGCGGGGTGGCTGCTGAGAGGGCTGTGGGTGGGCTCCGAAGGGGGTGGGGCCGGTTGGTCAGCTCATCCCAGGCTGCAGAAAGGGTCTGGATTTTTCTTTGAGGGAGACAGGGAGCCTCTGAAGGTTTAGGGCAGGGGTTTCGCGCCCTGACTTGTGTTCCAGCGGGACAGCTCTAGCTGCCACGCGCGAGGGCGGAAGCAAGCAGACCAGTCAGGAGGCGAGCGACGTCATCAGGCAGGAGACGAGGGGGCCTGGAAGCAGGAGGGTGGGAGCAGTGGTGAGATTCTGAATCAGACGTGAAGAGTGGGGAATTAAAGACGAAGGCTTTTGTCTGCACAATTAGAACAATGGTGGCAGAGAAGGCGAGAGAACGCTAAAAGTGCCCTTCTGAGCAAAAGTTTGAGGTGCCTATTAGGTAATTGAAGGTGTCAATAAGTCAATATAATATTGAGTCTAGAGTTCTGGGAAGAGGTCCAGGAGAGAAATAAAAATTTGAAGTCACTAGTGTGTAGCTGGTATTTAAATGAGAGTAGATCAGATCACCAGGAGAGTGAAGGTTGCCACACAAAAAGTCCAAGTGCCACGTCTTGAGGCAGTCGGACGGCTGAGGGTCAGGGAAATGAAGGGGAACCTGCGGGAGGCTCAGAGGAGGGCCACAGGGTTGGAAGAAGGCCCGGGGAGAGTGGTGTCCCACAGCCAAGGAAAAACCAAAGTGCTCCCAGGAGGAGGGACCGAGCACCTGCTTCAATCCTGCTACGTCTTAAGTAAGATAAGAAACAACTGGGTTTTGCACGAAGTTGATCACTAGTAATCTTACTATCACAAGCAGAGGGGGTAAATGGTGACATCAAGTAAAAATAAATCAAATACTTTTGCTATACAGTAGCTCCCCTTTATCCATGAGGGATACACTTCCAAGACCCCCATTGGGTGCCTGGGACCGTGGATAGTACCGAACTCTATATACTCTATGTTTTTTACTATACATTCATACCTATGATAAAGTTTAATTAATAAATTAGGCAATTTTATGGATAGATTTGTTCTGATCACAGATCTTAGCAACCTCAGCACATGAGTTTTGTTCTTTCCTTATTAAGTCAAGAACTCTCGTCTTTTCAATTAAAGGAAGTACTTCATGGCTTCTCTTTGGCACGTCCAAATGGTCAGTATCACTACTCTTGCATGTTGGGGCCATTATTAAGTAAAATGGGGGTGACTCGAACACAAGGGTGGCGATGGCACAATGTCGCTCTGATAACCAAGAGGGCTACTAAGGGACTAACAGGCAGGGAGCGTGTACAGAGCGGAGATGCTGGACAAAGGGATGAGTCAGCTCCCAGGAGGCAGAGAGACGGACGGAGTGGGATTCCATCGAACCACTCAGAATGGTGTGCAACTTAAAACTTATGAATTGCTAATTTCTGGAACTTTCCATCTAATATTTTTGGACCACAGTTGACCACGGGGAACCGAAACCCTGTCAAGTAAAACTGCAGGCGGAGCGGGGACTACTGTGAAATAAAATACAGAGCCACAGGTGGGCAAGAGGACACGGGGAACAGAAAGATGGAAGGGACGGGAGGCCAAGATTCGTTTAGCTTAAAAAAAAAACCCAAGACAGGAGATCTAACAGCCTGTTTAGAAGCCAATGGGAAAGGTCCAGAAAAGACAGAGATTGAAGCCATAAGAGGGAAGCCACGGGGCTAAAGAGTGAAAGGGGCTGGCATTTGTCAGGACATGAGGTCATGTAACTGGGCTCAGCCCTGGGGAGGGTGTGTGGGAATTCTCCGCGGACTGTTTGTTTGTTTAGGGGTGGGGGAGGAATTTTTCAGATAAGGTGATATGCTATAGTCATTGTAGAGAATAGGGAAGTAAACAGATAAAGGAAATGTAGAATGATGCCCAGGGAGTGTTGAGAGCCCACTTGACATGAATGATTGCAGATCTAATCTAAAATGAGGCCAGTCCATATCTTAAATGTTTCTCCCCAACCACATTCAGCTCTGCAGATGCAGAGAACAAGGCGGCAGAGGGCTGGCTTTGACCTGGGGTGCGGTTGAGTTGGAATTTAGCAAGGCCGCGGAGCTAAGGGCATGGGCAGGGAATGCCTGTGCCTGGGAACTTGGGCTACGTAACAGCCGGGTGACTCCTAACTCATCCGACCGCCAACCCTCAGACGTATCTAAGAATGAAGAAGATGCTATTAAAAATGCCGCAGGACAACAGGTATAGATTGGACTCCCCTGGGCAAATGGCGACCCTCCACTGAAGTGAAGACAATGGGCGGGAAGGACAGCGCAAGGCAGTGGGATTAACGCACTGTCCGTCCTGGGAGGTTGAAGTGTCGATGTGGGAGTACTGGAGAGAATGATCTAGAAAGACAGGTGTGCGTAGGGAATAGGACGTTTGAGCTGAAGAGTATGGAGGTCTTTCAATGACCAGAAGGGAGACAGTCTAGTGTAGGGTGTGAGCAGGGGCATGAACAACAACAGAGCGGGGGATGTGGCAAGAGAGAAGGACAGGGGCTGGGAATGGAGGACTCATCTGCACTGGGGTCCTCGCCTCGGCTGCCCAGGAGATGCACTTCGGAGCATTTAAAATTCCAATGCCCCGACTGCGCAGACCCTCAGGCCCAGTAAGACAGGCTCTCCCGTGGGACTCGAACGTCAGTTTTTCTTAAAAATCGCTTGAGGTGATTCCTATGGGCAGCCACGGAGTGACCCAGCTCTGTACATGGGGAGTGAAGCCAGCAGGACAGGAGGCTCCGAGAGAGTGGCTGTGAGACGAGAGCGAACGTCTTCAAAGAACAGAAAAGGAGGACCCAGGAGTCGACGGGCGAGGGCAGCGAGAGGAGAGGTGTGACCGGACGCCATGAGATTGGGGCTGACGTCCGCAGGGAGGAGGGAAATGGTCCGGAAGCTGCAGGGCGGGACGGGGAGGCTCTGTCCCCAGCCAGGCCCGGCTGTACGAGAAGCGTGGGAAGAAAACACCACCGCTCAGGAGGACTCGGGGGACAGGGGCCTCAGGGAAGAGCCAGGTTAGTCATGTTTGATGAGGGAAGAGAAGGGAACGTTCAGTGAAGGGGTCGGGGAAGCAGGAGATGCTGCCGAGTTCTAAAGGACCCTGTTGGGGTTTGTGCTGATAGAAGAGGTGTCAGTGGTCAACAGAGGCGTGGAGGGGCTGTGTGGTGCTTACCATTAGGGAGTGAAGGAGGACCGCGGACAGACCAGAACAGGAAGGAGGACTTGAACCTGACGTCCCAAGGCCTGCTGTGCTCTGAGCACATGGGAGGACATGCATCAAAAAAATTGTTTCCCTTGTTCTCTGGCCACCTCTCCCTAGCAACAACCCCTCTGAACAGATGACTGGCATCTCAGGGGCAAACGCAATGGCCTGTGGTTTCCACTCACCCCCTGGCACCTCAAATATGCCCACATCCAGCAGGAGCACGTGGACACAGACACACTCCCAAAGGCCTGGGCGAGGGAAGGCCTTGGCTTAAAGCCACCTAGTGGCGCAACAGTGTCAATGGTTGGCCCCAGGCACACTGTGAGGACCTACCAGACAAAGACCTGCCACCAACCAAGCCCGGCTCTCTCACTAGGACTTACCCTTGGCCAGCATCCCCATCTTAAGGGGCTGCATGCTGTAGATAAAAGCAGTGGTCATCCGAGCATGCGTTTCCCAGATTCCTAGCATACATGGGAACCTGCAGGGTGACGATGCCTCCGAAAACATACAGTGGGACTGCTTACACCAAACAAAACAAGAATAAAGAACAAGGACAAAGCTCCTACCTTCAGATGCCCAAAATATGTGGACAGGTTTAGAGAAGACATCCTTGCTCTTCACCCAGCTGTCATTCCGCTGTTTGGTCCAGGCGGACACAACGCAGTAGTAATTGCCTCTGTCTTCCTCTGTAGTCCTTTGGATTCGGAAGCTGAACGTATCTGTACGCTCCTTAGAGAAAATAAAGTCTCCGTCCTGGGCCCGTTGCTTGCTCCTCTCTCCATACCTCAGCGTCCAGTCCCCATCCATGACTGCAAGGAGCTCGCTGGTCACCACGTCATCACTGCGCCGGTTCATCCTGTAGTACCAGGACACCGTGACACGGACGCTTGGCTCTGTGCTCTTCATGTCCACAACCCGGCATTCCAGCTCAGTGAGGTCGTCTGAAAACTCGGGGACCTTAGAAGCATTCAGGTACACCTGATAGTCTGGCTCTGAACCAAAGACAGAGGAACCAGGGTAAAAAACCAGACAGCAACATACCAAAAATGAACAAAAGGAACAAGATGAGTACTCTTCTCGTCCTGACATTAAACGCTTATTCTACCAATCACTTGACAGAGCTGATAGTACTTATGTCAGATGGGAAGGATCCTCTTAGAGCTGTTATTGCTAAATGTGTACTACTCTGCCCCCAAGAACACTTCTGAAGCCAGAAGCCAAATGTGCCCAAATCAGAGTCTTGATCTTTCTGGAGCTTTGGGGGCTGCGGTCAGTTTCCCCAGAAGATTAGACTCTTCTGGGAAGGATCCAAGAAGCGTGGTGTCCACACTCTACCAAGGTTTTCCCTGGAATGCCAAGCAACGCCACAGACCGCCGCCCCCCGCCCCCACCCCGGAGGAGCGCTGGGAAACCCTACCCCAGAGGACATTCCAGCACTTGAGGCCAATCAAGCCCACCATGGCTTGGGTTCCTGCCACCCTCATCTATGCCCCAAATGCTAGGCCTTCACGTCATTGTCCCTTGTTGTCTGACCAATCTGTGTTCAATGGTCAATATACACCCCATCCTCAAATTCCCCAAACAACATTCATTACACTGCCACATGGAACTCGCCCATGTCATGGTCAACCTTGAAGTTCCTGGCTCACTTATGATGCCCCGACTTCCCCGTTGGGCGCACATCTGATAGGGGGTGGGAGGAAAACCAGCATCTCCCGGCCTCCGTCCCCATGCCCTCCGTCATGGTCCTGTTCTATTTTCACGTGTATAAAAATCTCTGCTTCTGAGGTTCACAGCCTTAATTTAATCCACTTCTCAACTCCACACTGACCCAAGGCCCTCCACCATGAGGAATTGCCAAGGAAGTGGTACTGAAACCTTCTGGTCGCTTCCTTCCCTCTGTCCCCACCCTCTGCCTGTCTGTGGTGGCCCTGTCCTCCTGATTGCTTCCATTCATTCTTCAGTGCCACCTCTTCTGTGCCCCCTTCTTGGGGTCCCCAGAGCGTGACAGTCTTTCTCTGTGTTTCCATCAGATGGGCCCATAATCGTGGGGAGTGGTGATCCCACTCTGTTGTGCTCCTTGCACAGCCTTGTATGCAGTAGGCACTCAGCAAATGTGTGCTGCTTCAATGGCAAGGCCTTTTAGAAAAGGCTACATTTTTCTTTCACTGAACTTTGCCTTTTTCACTCTCCCTGCGCAGAACTTTCCAATTGCCAGCACCACCTTTATTCACATCACCTCGATCAAACAGTGCAGTTTTATTTAATGTTGTTTTTTTTATTTATGACTCATTTAGATTATAAACTGCTGAGGTCAAGGAACTGTTCTTTACTGATTTATGCTTCTAATGAAATGTGTAACGTCGTGACTTCTCCCCGAATGATTCACTGGGCCAGGAAATGGAAAGAACTCAGATTCCTAATTCCCTCTTCACAAGCACTTAGTTGCAAGTGAGGCTGGAACCTGTGCTGTGTAAAGTTAAGCCGGCACGGCCCTGCCCACCCATGGGAGCAGGCCCTGCCACGAGGTAGGCACTGCGGAGTGGCACTGAAGGCCCCCAGACTGTCACCTGCCTCCTGACCTTACAGACACGTCGCACAGCCAGGGGTCCCCGCCTCCCGGGCAGAGTGCTGACACACCACACGGCCTCTCCCGCAACAACCAACTGTGGCGCAAATACCACCACAATGTATTTACACCGTCACGTGCATAAGCCAAGGCATTCTATTCCCAAGTTACGACACATCCAAGGGCTCAGACCCTTTTCTCATCATGTCAGCTCGGAGCAGAGCAGCTGGAGCACAGATAAGGGTGACAAGGTTCGTTCAGTGTGGAAAGGACAGACTTGAACTGTCTGGCACAGAGGAAGACTGCACCCCTTGGACCTGTCAGGACTGACCCGGGCTGCTGCCACATCGAGAAGCAGCAGGAGCCACCATCGCTTACGGGGCCCCAACTCCGATCCATGCACGAGGTGGAGACCCTCCCCATGTGTTACCACATCAACCTGAACCATAGACGGGGAGGCAGTAGAGAACTGTGGTGAAGAGCCCGAGGTCTGGGGCCAGGCTGTTCAAATCCTGGCTCTGCCATTTACTTGCTGTGTAACTTTGGGGAAGTTACTTCACCTCTCTGGTGTCTCACCTGTAAAAATGGGTAATAACAGTAACTACTGCATGATGTTTCTGTGAGGCCTGAGTTAAAATATACATATAAATACTCGGACTGGTGCCTGGGATGTACATGCATCTGTGGGATGGGTGCGCGTGCACGCGCGCGCACACACACACACATACGTATGTATTTGTGAACTGCTACTTGCAATTCCCACTTCATACCCAAGGAGGAGGAGCTTTAAAGAGGGTGACCACGTGCCCATACAGCTTGGAAGTGGCAGATTTGAACCTAGAGCTGCGTCCTTCCCACCGCCTTCCCAGCACACCTCTCAGATGAGTCACACTTCCTGTCCTCTGAACTTCGAACTTTCTACGTACCACTGGCTTGCACAACGACTGTGAGGTGCGCTGAATGTCACGACCAGTGCGGCTCTGTCAAGCCACTGCTGCAGGGCGCGCCCATGGGCCCCCACTGCAGCCCAGCGACCAGTGCAACCCCAAACACCACGTAGCAACCTGTGGGGACTTCACTTTGCCTCCTTACAGATTACTAGCTCGTCCATGATAAGCCCTCAACCCTCCATGGTTTACGTCCACCCCTGGAGCATATTCCTCCAAATATTGTCAAGCATATGCCACTCCAAAGTGGCAATTTGAAAACAAAGGCTGTTCAAGGTGCCATGGAAGAGGGTAGAGAACAGCGACTGGGCAGGCCTCTGAGTGGTCAGATCACAGAACACACGGAAAAGGTGGTCAAACTGGTCCCAGTGCCAACCAGCGGTCAGCTCGCACCCCTCCCCTGCCCTGCCCTGCCCAGCCGCATGCACCCCAAAGCTCACTCCCCAGCCCTGGAGCCCAGCCGCTGCCCTGCTCAGGCCCCTCTTCTGCCTAAGGCTCCAGACCCAGACCAGGCACAGAGCCGGGTCCCGGGCCTCTCACCCTGGTCTCTCCATGGCCGTCAAGCACCACACATTCATCACCTGATTCCTCACTCCCATTCACACACATAAACCACATTCATACACAAATATAGACACTCACACGCCTACACATTCAGGTACACACACACACACACGCACAAAGACATTCACGCACACATACACATACATACATACATTCACACACACACACACACACACACACACACACACACACAGCCAAAACCCCACTCCAAACCAACAGGCAGCCCCGCCTCCTAACTCTCAGTTGCTGTCCCCGAGACCACACTCCCACCATGCATTCTCCCGGATGGCTCTGCTGAAGCGTGTGCCATCTCCAACTCCACTCCTCGGGCCCAAAGTCTCCCACGTTCCCCCTCCTCAGGCCTCACACACAGTAGGTGCTCAACAAATAAACACGGGGTTTGGCACAAATAACGTCCCCCTTTTATGACAAAATCTCTATTACAAAATCATATGCATGTAATTCTGTAACATAACAATGTCACGCTCCAGCACACCATGTGACACTTTAGGTGAAATGTTCAAATTAAAATTAGAAATTATTACACCCATATTATCACCCTGCCAACCACACTCACGCAGGCCCTTCTACTGCACCCTGTATTTGTGAATGAAAGTGAAAACCTACAGGCCCCGCCCTCACCCTGGCCCTTCGCCTCCATAGCCAGGACTGTCCTACAACCGCCCAACCCGCCTCCAGCCGACAGGGCTCCAGGGTCATCCTTCAGCGAACCCCCCGTGGGTGGCTCTTCCTCTTACCTCGGGAGGAAGAACACCCGCCCGGCCCGGCAGGAAGGGCTCTCCGCAGAGCGAGTCTGTCCAGCCCCGCTGCCCACTGCCCTCTCCCATAAGTTCTAGGCTCTATTCAGCGACACCCCTCACAAGTCCCTAATCACTCCCTTTGCTCCCAGGTTTCCTGCCTTCCTCCCGCTGTCCCTCTGCCCCAGCCCCTGGGACACCTGCTCAGCAAGGTGCTGAATAAATGACTGAACAGCTTCTCCCATTCTACTCCACCCTCCACCCCCAAATGGATGCGCTCGAACCCGATGTATCCAGATGCAGAGAATGGGGGGTGCAGGGGCGATGTGTCTAGTTACAGGAGAGGAAAAGCTCTTCATTGACCGGTTGACCTCCTCACTCTCTGTTGAAACTAAATCTCGGGGCCCCCAAAGGAGGATCCTAATGCAAAAACCAACAAAAACAACTGGATTCTTGGCATCTGAACTTACAAAGGGGTAGTTCTAGGGATTTAAAGGCTGATCCAAGGTCATTTGAACTATCCCCCAGCCTTGTAGGTCAATTGAGACCTGCAGTCATTCCTAGAGAAGATGTGACTCTACTACATCAGAACAGCGGGAGAGGTGGGCTCTTATTTCTCTCTCGTTTGGGTGCGTGGGTGGGAATTTCCCTTCACTGTTCTGTGTGCAGAGGCTGTGCTGTTCTTCAAGGCCCATCATGCAATCACCTCGTCCGCGTGGCTGCTCCTACTTAACAGAGAATGCTTCCTTCGCACTCGCCTGTCGCACCTCTACTTCTTATTCAGCCAACGTTCAGAGACTCTACCCCCCGCCAGGCTCTCAGCTCTCTAAGAATCTTATCTGAATGAACACTGCCTTGAACTCTGGTTATACGTCTTACAGACCTTCTTCACAGGGTCAGGCGCTACCTACCTGATTCATCCATACGTGCTATGCCTGCAGTGTCTTGTTCATAAAAGGTATTACCGCACTTGCTGAATTGGACTAAATTTAATATTTTGCATAAAAATGCTCATTTTTTGGCAGAGGCATTCCACCACTGATTACTGCTATATTCTGCTTGATCTCATCAAGAAATCAGCTAAGAATGCAATGGCGGTTATGTTTTAAAAATGCTTATCTGTTGAAGATGCATACTGAAGTATTTAATGGTAA